GCGCAGCCCACGGCGGCGCGGGCCACGAGCGGCCGGCGTGTGGTGGCGCGGCGTGCGACTCGCGTGCCGCTGATAACCGGCGTCGCGCCACTCGCCGGCTGGCCTCGTCCCCGTCCCGCTCCCGGCTCGGGTTTCTCCCTCAGAAGAGCACAGGAAGCGGAAGAAGAGTCCGTGCGTATCGCGGCGCCGGAGGACGCACGCGGGTCCCGTCGGGCAATGAACGCGGACCCCCCGCGCCGCTCCCACGCCTACCGAGAGGAGGTACACGCGCAGCGTTTGCGGGTCGCCCTTCCGAAATGGGAAGTCGACAACCTCACCGTAAATCAAGATCCACGTAGCAACCTGGATGAGCACATGCTATTCCTCTAATCACCGGCTGAGTAATCTCAGAGTCAGTATTGCTATTGTCTCTGCTGGGATCCTGACCGGGACATCATAGAGTCCGAGTCCCAAGGTGACAGATTTTTGACAATAGCTACTTAGCTAGGTCGAATTCAGCGGATGTCTGGAAGGGAATAACTAGTGACTGACTGCTCTAATCACTCTTTCTTCGATCAATACCACGCTAATGGCGGAGCAGCACCCTTTCCTCTTCACGGTCTTTATTTTTTTTTTTACATTTTTTTAACGCTGAGGAGAGATACTTGATGGGAAAATTCCCCGCAAGCCGACGTTTAGGTCGCCGCCGAATCACTGCACTAAGGGGACCAATGACCATAGCATTTGACGTGCCCGGAAACATCAATAAATTTGTGTTGGAAGAGTAGGATCAAGAGTATTCGGGATGGGGTCTACTCAGCATGTGACCAGATTATAAAGTCGAAGTACACTTAAGTAGATGCAAATTGATTATAATCCCTTCCCCTTCATACACTGAGAAACTACTATTTTGACTCTTCTATAAAAATAAAAATAAGAAATACCAATCGTGTCGGGAGACCAGCCGGGGGCTAAATGCTTGTCCCGGGCTGGAATTGCTGGTGGGAGACATCTAGAGTGAGGAAAATCTCGCAAGTCGACCTACAAGTCAGAGCCGGATCTCGCTATCCAGCTGGGGAAGATCATCGTCCGCGATAAAACGTGCACTATACTTACGGGACAATAACAAGATATTGGCGCGCACAGAAACACTTCTCAATCAATGGTTCGATTAAGGGCCAATATCCAATATGAGCCAGCGACCGATCGGTATAATCAAGATCAAGACCCATTGATTACAAAAAATGAACTTCATAATTAATTGTTTTCTGACATAACGCAATAAAACATCAAATGACAAATTACAAATTCGCTCTTCTTTCGTATCCATCTTTCATCCTTAGGATTTTTGGAAACCCAAGAGAATGTAACTTTGTATTTTCAAAACTAACTACTCGTCAACTTTATTGCGTAGAAAATATTCTCAGGAACACGCATGGAAGAAATCTTATGTATCTAAAAAAAGCACAGTATTCTTTAACCATTGCACAAAAATGAAGATTAGAAACTCAGTACTGAGAAGCAGGCATGTATCCGCTTATTGGAGGTATTTACGAAAATGCTGGTATACGAAAACTGTCGTATTTTTATTCATGTCATATCTTAGAGTTATTTATGTGTAATAAATTGAGTTATGATTATGCAGGCTGTACATAATAGAGAAATGTAAAGGGTTCAAGCAAGCAAACAATTCTTTTAAAACATGTTGATGAAAAAAAAGATTGGGAATCCCTGATCTCGATGATCCATACGACTTCAGATCTTGCGGCCTGACATGGGGAGTATTACCAAACAACGTGAGGATAATTATTACAGTATTATTGTCTTTTTGTTTTTACTCTGAATCTTACAGTCCTTGTGATCATGCGTCTAATAATACCCAAATCCGACTTCGAGGAACGGAAGGAATTGGATTCGCATTTTTCTTCAGAAGACGAGCATGGAGAGATCAATTCTAAATCAGTTAACAGGTGCCCGTTTTATCTGTCCCCGCAAGTGTAAGGTCTGTGGCCACAATCGGGCGCGAAAAACGCACGAAATTGGACAACTTTGATTTTCCTCGGGATACATGTTCGTAATTGTTCGTAAGGTCGCAAACCCGACCTAGATCTGGATAAAGTCGGGGGAGGGGGGGGGGAGGCGCTCCAGCCCAGACAAAGGCGCACCCTCGCACGTCATCCTTTCACGTCTTTCCGGGAACAAATCTGAGAACACGAGACGAGCAAAAACGTCTGCTGGCACCTTCTGGATACGGAAAAGCACTATACCCCCAAGCACGGGCGGGTAAAACTGACAACCAAGATTCCAGAGTGTAGGGTTCCTTTAGAAAGAAGGCCTATCTGAAACTAGTGATGCTCAACAGCACACATTTTTTCGTATTATGTCCAACTTTCGCAATTTCAGAAATATCAAGTTCAACGAAAATGAGATCTGTGCATTTTTTAAAACGTCCTTTACTTTATTCGTGAATAAAAATTAAAGGAAAAATTTGAGCCGTTTTTGAGATTTTTATATAAATTGCTTTTACTTTAAGTAGCAATTACGCAAATACGTCCCTTCTTTCAAGACCTTAAGATTTAATTTTTTAGAACATATTTCATTTAATAAAAAAGTCTATCGTCGCAATATTGTACTTCTGCATTTTTAATTTTTTGTGATTTTCGAAAATATAGGGAGTTTGCCAAAAATGGGGCCAGCACTCCTTTTTCACTCTCTTTTACTACATACGAGGAAAAATGAAGGAAAAGTTTGGGGCCATTTTTGAGAAAACAATTATTTTAATGTTGCCCTATTTCATGAAACATTTCGCGAATACTACTTTTATTTCCGAAAAATTGTTCATGATCTTCAAGATATGTATTTGAAGAACAGATTTCATTAAGGAAAAATAACCTTTATCTTCAATATTGTGGTTAGGAACTCGCCGAAAAAAATCATGAAATTTCGAAAATTCAGAGATTTCAACGAAAATGAGGCTATGTCACTTTTGAGTGATCTTTACGCTATCAAAGGGAAAAGTTTAATCAAAAAACCTGGAGTCATTTTTGAGAAAATTCTGGAAATGTTACGGAGGCTTCATATAAAGTACCCCCCTACCCCCCCCCCCAATATCAAAATATCTGTTGGAAACTCTCAGGGCTTGAGTTCGTTCATATCGATAGGGGAATACCAATTTTGGAGAAAATCGTCTAAGAGGTTAAAGCGCTAGCGTTGGCCACAAACGGACAGATAGACGTTTTGCCGTCAATTTTTCGGCATCAAGGACCCACCAGACGTTGATTCTGACAGCACAATGTATTAGGCGGAGAAATTTAGAACATTTAGGAACAATACCTTTCCAGTTTTTCGTTACCACGCTATAAAATACGCGATTTTTGTCGAAAAATCCCGATTTCACAAAACCTGAACTTTGTTTCTAATTTTTATGAAACTTTTGTAAAGTAGTATTGGCACACATCATATACTTTCGGTTACTATTACTTTGTATTACAATCCTAGTTGAACCTGAGCGCAAATTTCACATAATTGAACTCTATTGCCCATGGTTTTCCGACCAACAGGTTACTAAGCTTGCGTTGAGTTTCCAGTAATTTAATGAAGAGAATTTAGCAAGAGATATCTGAAGTATTCATAATTCATACATTGCCTGATAATTCTTATACCTTTCCGCAACCGTTGCAAACAGTACAAGAAAGTCTGTAACATTTTGTAGAGACACTATTTTACTTACAAACACTTGGATTTGTCACACAGACCTCCATTGTCTTTAAGAGACATCAAACTAGAGACTACAAAATCCATCTGATTACGCTTAGTATTAGATATGCTACAGCATGTAATTTACTTTTACAAATAATTTTGAGCTAAAACAAAGCAATATGCCATAGACAATAAAAATAACATTTCTTGGTTCTCCACGTGTGCAGCCGCAGTTGTAGTAAGTAAATGGGTCACAGACTAGTTTGATTCCCGCTACTTCACGGTGCGAAACGCGATGTTTTCTATGATGTAATCTACTGAATGACTTTTAATAAAAAGTTATGATAAACGTAAA